TCCTCTCCCCACTCAACTCAATTCTGTCCTGCCTCACTGGGACTGAAGACCTGAACTTCCTGGGACAGTTCTCATTTTGATGTTGCCCCAGTTGATTTTGCCCTGAAAACCTTATGAGTCCCAGAAGCATCATTGCTTCAAGGGCCCAGGGAGCATCTCTGAAATAGCTCCTCACCTGAGTGGCATCAGTCCCTCATCACAAGTCTATATGGGAGCTGAGGAAAGGTGAACTCAGGTCTGACAACTTGCAGAGCCGAAAACCCATTTTGACATGAGTTCAACCTGTAAGCATCCAAGAGCAGGGGCCAAGTTCCCAGCTAGAATGGACTCTGCTCCCAGCGTAAAGTCCCTTGCCCACCATCCAGGTATTTTCACCAGTGTTGGACTGGTGCCATCTGTCAGATGGACACAGGCTCCTGGGCTGGGGGTAGAGGGATGTGCTTGTTTCACTTTTGGTGGCAACCCCCCACCTCTTGGAGAAGCTTATTTCAGTCCTGCATGGCTAGCAATTCTCCCAGAAAAAGGTGGGCCTTTTTAACTGGTGGTGGATGGCAGAAGGAAGCAGGAAGGAAGGCCTGAACTGGGCCCTGGGCTCATAGGTCAGAGAGGATCCCTTGGTGCATCTCTATCCAATAACCTGCTTTGGGGAAACTTTGAGTATTTCTGTCAAGGTTCTGGAAGGGAATTGGCTCCAGAGACACCTCTGGTCAATGTTAACATGAAAAAATGGATGGAGATGGGGAGGGTGGTTAACAGGTAGGAAGAATGGGAAAAGCACCAACTATGGGCCAGGTTTAACCTCCAGGAGACAGAGGCTCAGAGGTATGAACTGATTTATGCAGGCCACCAAACTAGGAAGTGGGGGAGCCCAACTGGGGGCCCATCACGATCTGCCCCCAAAGTCAAGGCTCTGTGGGGAGAGGAGTAGGTATGGAGGGAACAGGTGACCACCCCTCCTTCGCCCCAAGGCCTGGTTTGGGTCACTTTCTGCCTTCCTCTTCACGCTGGCAAACTCGACCAGCGATCAGACGGCGGCACATAGACAATGGCGCTCTGTCCAGGGCGGGCGCTCCGGGACGACAGCTCATCCCTATGCAGTGACCGCCTCCCCCACCCCGGCCTGGCCGCCAGCCCCTTTCAGGCGATGGAAGCCGGGGCGGCGGCGGAGGGGGATTCTCACAAGCCGTTGGACATTTGCATAGCCGGCTCGCCC